TTTAAAAAATGCGTTTCTAAAGTGCATAAACTTTTCGGATTGACTGTATAGCCAATACATCCTTAAATGTGACTTGTCAGACGAAAATGATAGACTTCTGCACGCTGTTTTGTTCTAATGCAGAACTGTAATATTTCATAATTATTGTTAATCTCTTAAACGTATCAAGAAATTGAAATGAATTATGAAAGGATAATTGCATCAAGTGAATGTATGAACAAAAATGGGTCGGCAAGAGTATCTCAACGATGACAATACAAGATTAAGGGAATTATACGAGAGAAGGGCGCATGGAAATATCTCGCGAGAGGGAGACAGGGAAAGGGTGCGACGGTGAAGGAAGGACCGAGGGTGCGACGCGACGCGGCGGACGCGCGCCTAATTGCCCGCCACGACGGCAGCATCCGTGCTTTCCTCCTCCGTGTTCCGCCGGATCCCGAAGGGGTTCCGCTACCCCACCGCCCCGTAGTTACTCGCGCGTTAGTAATTAGATCTGCGCGGCGCCGCGACTCTTGCTAGTCGCACCCTTCACCCGTCAACTTATCGTTCTCCGCCCTCTTCGGTCCTTGCACTCTCTCCATTTCTCCATTCCGCTTCCTCCTGTTTCCAGAGACCTCAAGGGACTCCCTCTGCGTACCTTATTTCCTTCTCTCCCGGCTAGAAAATTCTCCCTTTCCGCGACTATTCCACCCCTGGCTCGGTGTCGTTTCTGAGCAGCTCGCCAAGTGGGCGTGAACGTTCTCGAGGAAGGGAATGCGCGTACTCGTTTCTCGCGAGGAGATATTAACATGCTATTATCGAATAATACAGTTTATGGATCCCGCGACCTATCCCAGTGTAACAGGCGGCGGCGGTGTGAACTGCTCGGCAATCGCAGGAATCGATTTCGCGTAGAAACGTGAATATAAAACGAAGTAGGAAAGTGAATTGGTTCCAGCAATGGGACAAGTGGCTGGATCAGGGGTTCGTCGTGGGTGAGGAGGTCGCGCGTGCAGGTCTCGTCGGGGCGAGGGGGTTGTAGAATCGAAGAGACTAGCTCCTCTCTCCGCGAGGCGAGTTCAATTCATTAACAAAGGACGGTTTGATAAATAAAAGCATTACTCACGCTCGTGGCGCTGGCGGGATGAATGCATACCGAGTCGACAAGGACCGAGGAGAAGACGTAGATAAGATCGGCGGGTGTCCCCGCGTTTTAGTGGTCGAGCAGCGGGGGGCCCGACACGGTATTAATGTTTGGCCTCGGAGGCAAAACATTCACGCCAGGCTTCATCCTCTGCCCCCTTACGGGCCTGCCCGGCCCGCGTCCCCGCGTACCCCTTCTGACCCTCTCGCGTACCCGTGAACCTGCCACCACCTCGGTGTCCGGCACGTTAACCCTAAAAATCGCTGTGGACCGCATTTCGTTTTCATCCGTGACGATCGCCGGACCCGATCATCTTCCGCGAGATCGTTTCAATTACTATGGCAAACACTATCGGTCAATCATTTTTTATTTATGAAATTCATTTTCCGAAGAGTGAAATATAATTTCAAAGAATACTTCATACTGATTTATCCCGTATACATGTATAACATGTTCTTCATTCGTGATTAGACGCATTTAAGTATAGAAAAACTAGATAAGCAGATAATATTAAGAATCCTGTGTGCATTACGTGTTCGTCGTTTGAACAGCCTCGAACAAAAATTGACATAGCTTATGTGAGAGAGAGAGGAATTTTGTTGAAACTTCCTGTTTACTCGTTAAACTTGTGCATTATAAATTAGTATGACATTAGTTTATATTGATGTACACACTTGGAAACGTAACAGGCTTCTGGCTCTCACAAGAATAGCTTCAAGAGTTTAGTCACAAATAGATCAAAGAAGAAAATATTTACTACAATTGCACATTTCATAATTTTCTATGTTATCTTCTTCATGTTACACGTAATTTTGTGAGAGAAAATAATATCGACTGTGCGATACTATCCAAGTGAAGATGACTGTAGGTACTTAACTGGTTTTCACGTGATAAATCTCTTGTTTGGTTTTATTTCCAGGCGAATGTTCCCAACGTGCAGGGTGTCGTTCAACGGATTAAAGGCGGACAGTCGTTACGCAGTCCTGATGGACATTGTGCCGGTCGACAACAAGAGGTATCGATACGCGTATCACAGGAGCTCATGGCTGGTAGCCGGAAAGGCCGATCCTCCGGCGCCCGCTCGTCTTTACGTGCACCCGGATTCGCCTTTTACGGGTGAGCAGCTTCGAAAGCAGGTCGTCTCGTTCGAGAAAGTCAAGCTCACCAACAACGATATGGACAGGCACGGCCACGTGAGTATCTATACTTTGCAAACTAATACATCCGTGCATATCAGATCGTCATCGTAGAATGTCGTCTGTTCAATGCAAGTCCTGTGAACTGTATTTTTCTGTAAAATTTTTCTGTAAAATGAAATAGCGAGTCGGAACAGATACAAATCAGATTAAAACTTATAATAATTATATTTCGAGTGCAAACCAATAAAAAATCTGCCAACGTTCCGATTATGTTAAATAATATTGTAACATATTTTATCATAATAAAATGATCTCATTTTTAATTCAATTCGTGATAAGATATTATAATTTGAAATTACGTAGGCATGAACAGAGTTTGATAAGCACGTATGATTACAGTGAATAATCGTTACAATTTCGAATAATATTTTCCCTTAAATACGAGTGTTCCTTCAACAACATTTTTCTTCCAAGACGTTGTTTGATGGCTGAGTAAGGCCAATTTTTTACGACGCAACCCTTAATTCCGTTGATTGATTTGTGGTCATTCTCGTTTCGAAACGGTGCAGTCGACTAAACCCGTATATGTATAAGCTATCGTTTCGCTCCGTGCGATCGGTGGCAGTGTCGCCGGGGTCTGGTATCCGGTTCCTCCCGAACAAAACGGCGCGATGGGCAACGGGGTCCTTAATTCATTCGATGACTGACGTAAATAGGAGCTCCGATCGGGTTCTTCACGGTACTCATTTTGTATTCAGGGTGTTACACGCTGCCAGGCGGAGGCAAAGTGATTCTTTTGAATGGTAAGCGGGCAACGTCCGAGTCGAGTAAAGTGCCCCTAATTCGTACTCCTTTTCTACCCGTTTCAAAATCATCGTCGTATCGTCGATCTATCGATAGACGAAGACTCCAGAGGAATTCAACGCGACGAATAAAAGCAGAGACGTTTAACCCTTCGCACGACGTCCAGAAAATCTTTCTTAACACCTTTGAACATGTCTACGAGCATTTCCCTCGAGGACAGTTTTGGAACATTAGAAATTCAATTAACTTCCCGTTGTCATACTTCTTTTAGGAATCACGGTTGTCACATTACGTCACTCAGATCCAGTTAAATATTCAACCAGCTGCTCTCAAGTATTAAATCAGCCTCTTAGAATATACGAAAAGTAACAAATTAAATAACACTAAAAAAAGTTATGAAATTAATGTTATTTTAAAAAAATATCTGTTTCTAAAATCGTGGGTCATTCATAATGACAACCGAGGGTTAAACTGCACCGTCAGAAATAGTTACGCAGCTTGGAAATGAGGCGAAATCAGGTGTACCGTTAAACGATTGAAAACAAATAAAATTCTAGTATACATACTTGCTGGAAAGGGTTGAACTCGAGCCCGGTGCTTAAACCGGCGCGTGAAAATGCGCGTTTTACGATGACGGGACAAAAACGATACACGCGTTCGTTTGAAACTCGGAAGAAGGGTCGCGGCGCGTCGCGTTTATTTGCGAAACGTAGAGAGACGCGGCGATGGTTGTAAATCGTCTGACGGAATCGTCTACGTTTTCCAGCTGGTGTTAAACTCGATGCACAAATATCAACCGAGGATCCACCTGGTGAAACGTCCGGACTCGGGGACGGCGAAGCCGATCACGGACCTGGAGAAGGAGCCGCACAAGACGTTCATATTCCCGGAGGCGATATTCACCGCTGTCACCGCCTATCAGAATCAACTCGTAAGTCCCACTTCGTTTCTCGCCGCTACATTCTACTCTCTCCGCGTGATCACCCTCTCAACGAGAACGTTGGATGACGGACTGACTTACAACTATTGACGCAGTTGACTCGGCGACGAGCATCCTAAATCTGTTTAAGAAAGAACATCCGTACTCGTGTTGACATCTGACCCTACCTACTCATCCTGTCGTTAATATTTCTTATCAAACCTGGAGTTCAACGAGGATATGTTATAAAATTAATACGACCTTTTCTAATTCGTTTCATACTCTCCGGGCTTCACGTTTTCGCTTTTTTCTTACGCGTCAAATCTGACTTTACCTGGCGACGTAACGTCATCTTCCATGTGCCCCCGGGACAGGTTCTCCCTTCTCGCAGCTTTCGCTCTGGATAATCATTTCCTCTCCACCGATTGAAACGTGCAAAGTAACTCGTTTTCTTTTGTCACACGAATTCTGTGCAAACCGTTTAAATTGCTGGTCTTCGCTTTGTCCTTACTGTCATCTATAGTTGAAATTTCTCTTATAAAACATGTATCGACTTTCATATTTCAAGAAAGAAGATAAAGGCATCTGTCGTTCTGCATCCGATGATAATTCAATTCTTGTGTTCATGTTTACTTTTCTATCCCCGAAATTAAATTGCACCTGTGTTTCATATTTTAAATAATATTAAAGGTGAAAAGCGAAGGCTTCAGATTTGATAAAAGCGAAGATGGTAATTTGATTTCCCTTAATCTCGCGCGCAGCTCTGACAACATGGATCGGTGGCAGACGATTAAGCTCAACGCGTATAGGTGCAAAACCGGGTGTACGTTTAACCTCGCGACGATTCCTCTTGCTCGCGTCCAACGTCGGATTCCTCGGTACCGCGAGAAACGCAATCGTGTTTTACGATAGTCGTTTAGGCAGAGCGACCGACCGCCTGGTGTGTGGTCCGGTCGCGGCGGTCGTTCACATACCGTCGGCGTCGCGACGCGAGCCTCTTTTCTTTGCTCGCGATCGGAATCCCTTCGTATTCTCGATTTTCGACAAAACTATACGCGATCGTCGTCGCAGATTTCGAAGCGCAGATTCCAACTCGGTGGGCATTAAATCTTGGTTAAAATTTGCAAAACATGACTTATTGAAACTTATTATTATATGCTTCATATTTATTGTACACGTGCTCATATTTCTGATTAAAAAGATTTGTACAAACTCAATTCAACACAGGTATAACATGATAATTAATTCCTTGTGAATAAAATTGTACGTTTTTATTATTATACAAATTATTCAACTTAATTCTGACAGACAAACACAAAGAATTGACTAATTAATTATTGAAATATATAAATATTATATCGTATACAGGAAATAATAAGAAGTAATTCTAACATATTTTAAGGTATGCGTTTCTATTATACATGCAATCCATTCTACCAAGCCTCTTTAATAATACCTCACATACCACTGTATGTACAGTGAAATGACAGCTATTGTACATATCTCAGCCTACAAATTTAGCACTATGCGCGTGTACAAGTTTGTAGATTTAATAAGGGAAGAATGGTTGGACATAGTCGCGCGGTTCCGATGCGAGGAAACCGTGGCAATCGAGCGGCTTCAAAGCGCCTAACGGGTGGTCCGTGCTGGACTACCCACCCTCGTCGCCTGCGACAGCCGCGAGAACGACGCGGAGCCGTTGATGACGATGATGAGGTGCGAAGAGATGCCCCGGCAATTACCTCGGCAGAGCTTTCCTCCTCCTCGCCTCACCCCCGTCGCCCCTCCCTCCCCCTCCCTGTCCTCGTCTCCCTTTATCCTCGCCTCCGTTCCGTGTCCCTCTTTATTCTTACCTCTCTCTTCGGATCGTGGTCGCTCCTTTTAGTTACTCGTCATCGTTCCGCTTGAATCTTCTTGTCGTCGCGTCTACGGAAAAACGAATGTACTAAAGTTAACTAGAAAGTATGTACATGATACGCGGATGTCGCTCGATAAAGTCACACAGTATTATTAAATTTGTTCAAAGAAAGGATTTCATCGTTACATAAAATTTAGTTAATCTAATATTTAAATTTGTCTAAGACTGATTAATTTTAACGATTACGTAATTATGTCGTGCGTGCAGTAGTTCTGAATTTGTAAACGCATCGGCTGTAAAATAGCGAAGTGCCGGAAACGCGTAACGGGGAATTTCAGGATGCAGCGAGAAAGTGGTAACGAGGGGAAAGGGGGAAGAGAGAAAAGACTCGGTGGCCGGCTCGTTTAGCCGGCCGTCTCGAAATTCATTCGTCGCGGTTCGCGGCTCTCCCAACGCATCGGCCGCTCGTCGTTATCGTGCCTCGGCGTTGGCTCTCGTCTTATTCGTCGGTAGCCTCGTTGCTTCTCTCCTCGTGCCTCGTCATCGCGCGCGAGGGGCTGAAGCTCGTTTAGAAAGAGGGAACACAGGGATCCTTTTTTTCCCTCCCTACGGCAGCGGCAGCCAACACCCCGCGCACCGTACGCGTACACCGCGTATCGTTGCGGACAGTTTTTGTTCCTCCTCTTGTCTCTCGTTTCCCTCCTCGTAACGACCTCTAACACCGACGCGATTCGTCTTTCTCGCTCGCACGCGTCATAATTCATAACCTAACTGCCGTCCTTCTTCCCTTCCTCGGTTAGCATCCTCTCCATCCGTTCTGCTGGCTTCTTATCGCCGATCCCGTCCTCTCCTTTTCGCCTTTGCTGAAATCCCTGGTCGGATGCCTCTAATCCAGCAAAGCCGATCGCTGTGTTCGATTCCTCGTCCGCTGCATGTAAATCATTAAAAAAAACGGATGATTTCTATTTGATATGCATTCAAATGATAGAATCGTATCTACGTCGGGCTACGAGATGACCTTTGACAATAATGTTGGCTGCATAGAAGATCGATCGGAGTTTAGCAGAGATAAACTTGAATTCCTGGTTGCTATCGAGGCCATAAATCACGAGAACACATTTATACACATATTTCAAAGAGCGTAAAGAATCATTCTTCAAATTCGATAACGTGTGATTCAAATTAACTGTTATTTGTCAGTTACGTGCGTAAAAGTCTACAGTCCAATTATCACTATATTATTGACGTAATAACAAATGATAAATTAAGTCGAAACCCTCGACTTATCGGACCACCCCGCTTCAATGGTTCACTACTCGAATTTCGTTGTGTCCAGAGAGCAAGTGATAATAACTGATAACTGAGAGATAACACTTAGGCAACACTATTAATAGTCAAAACGATGTGCCAGGATTTTCTACAGTCAACGTAAATAGCTAATCATTGCGTCGTTTTGAAATAAGAAATAGACAGTGAATTCAGGAAGTCTCGTATTTGCATCTTTACGTTTCATCTAATGATTATTTCATGATAAAATTTTGATACGCAACGGTGAAACGCAACAGCGATACGACACGCGGATACGTTACAGGCGGATACTGAGATGGTGAGGTATGCAATCTTCTTGAAGAAGATGTTAAGGGGGAAAAGGTTTGTCCCGGCTAATTCGATCGTAGCTCGCGACATTGTCTCGAGCGCAGTGTTTATGCTGGCCGGGATCAGAAGGAAAGTTTTGGATGGGCGCCAATAGTGTCGGGGAGTCGGGAAACGATTCGTAAATTTCTCCCGGTTGGCGTTGAACGATAAACGTCAAGGGCACGTCTTACGTTCTCTCTCTCTCCCTGTTTCTCTCCCTCGCGAATCCTGCTTTACGATTCCGAAGGGTGCTCCGACTAAATGATAAGCTATTGCTCATGCTATCTCAATATTACACGTCTCCGTCTTTCAGTAAATGGGAGAATACATAGAATAATAAGTTTGCTAATATTTATTATACGTGACATAATTATACTGATTTAATTTTAAAAATTGAACAAACTGTAAGACCTTTTCTAACAGTTTAAGAAATGATAAAAAGCTATTTTCAATATTTGAAGTGAAATTATTAGGAAAAATAATAATTTTAAAATACCTTTNAAATTGTGCTATTCGACATAATAATTCAAGATTAATAGAAATTCCAATCTTTGTTCACGTCATAATTTCTCAAGGGAATCTTTAGCGAGTAGAAATTGGGACATTCACTAGAATAATATTTCAGCTTCGAAGAACATCTGAAATTTTGCAGAGTGTTATTAATGAAACATCCAATAATTGCCAAAATTGGAATGCCTTCTCATTGTTTTTCTCAACCTTCTAACGATCAAGCGAGTTTCCATCTAGATTTCACTTGTCAGAACGATGCCGTGAACGTGTGTTCCGTTTTGCGTGAAAATCGGCGATCTATAATCGGATTCATCGCAGTGGAAAATTCTGCGGCGGTAATAGATATATATCTCGTATAATTATCACTTGTACCCGGCGTTGACCTTCTTAATTAACTTCTCGACGTCGAAACGGAGGCAACTGTTCTGCCAACTCGTTTCACGTTTCACGGATCCCAAAAGAAACCACGGTAGAGGGGAAAGTCTCTGGTTAAAGAAGAGAAACGGTAGGAAGGAAGATCGGTGAGGAAGGTGGAGCGCGGGTGCAAATGCAGAAGCAGAAGAAGGTGGAGGAACTAGCCGCGAAGGAGGAGATTGGCGGAGGTGGAAAAGAAAGAACAGGAAAAAGAAAAGTAAGACGGAGAAGAAGAGGAAGAGGAAGAAGAAGAAGAAGAAGAAGGAGTCGATGGTTTTAGTGGCTGCAGGCGTCGGCGTCGGCATGCACGTACGAAAGAAAACATAAATAATCGCGTTCAAATGAGACAGAGACGAGAGGGAGAGGAAGGAGGCCCCTCTCGGAACCACACACGGCGGCTGTAAGCGTTGGCGGCTTGCACACACGCTCCTCACTTACAACGGCCATAATTCGATCTCGTCGAACTGCGAAAGACGAACGTTTCGCCTCGCCGGCACCGAATTTTACTTCGCGCTTTGACTCCTCAACGACGTTCTGCCATCGTGTACAATAGACAGGAGAAAGAAAAATAGGAAGCGTGACAGCCAGCAACCGG